ACTTTGTTCACGGTGATGGAGAGGAGACTTATCAATTGTGGTCCTGCTGGATGCCCCTCAGGAACCACTCTGGGATCTCATCTGGATTTCTTTGCAGCCCTTCAAGGACAAAGCCTCAGATAGGTAGATAATGAAAGACAGCGTGGCAGGGCTGCCTTTGAGATGCCCCCAGCTCATGCAATCGACTTTCCTCCTGAGTTCCTCTCTATTAACCCCTGCTTCAAAATCCATTTAAAAACCACCTTTGAGTAAATGTCATGTCTGTTTCACATTGACTTGTCCTGGAATCCCTTTCTGTGACAAAGGCAAGGACCTGGGTTCACCTGAGTGAACTGGTCTCTGAGAAGAACCCTACAGGCTGTGGTGGGCACCCGCGTGGAGCTGTGTCTCCATTCCTGTCACTGCTGACACCTTGTCTATTTTGTTACTGGGTTACTGGGATCTTCTTGTCAGATTCTGACAGATGTATGTTGTTTTCCTCCTTGCTCACATGGAGAGAACTGAGGCTCCAGGGCAGAGTACCTTGGTACATCCTCAGAAGCCCTGCAGCTGTCTGAATCGTTGATGCGAACCCTTCCAGATGCTGCATGGAGGCAAGTGTCCTGCATCTGCAGCTACTGCCTGCAGAGTCCAGCAAAGCAGACATGAAGGGAACCCTTGTGGATGGCATGTGAAGGGACTGGAGTCGGTGCAGAACACCCCGAGACCACGTTCTCAGCACAAGGAGATTTATTTGTCCCAGAGGGACAAAGGGCAGAGAATAAGAGACGAAGACAGGAGACAGGGGACAAAAAAAAGACAGGAAACAGAAAAAGGGAGGAGTAAAGGGATATTTGCGCTGGAGGGACAAAGGACCACCTCTGGACAGAGAGGAGACAGACGTTGGCCCATAGGCAAATGGCAGTTTATAAAGGGAAAGGAGGAAACTCCATGTTAGGATGAGTTGTTTTCCTTTGATTGACCATGTTAATTACATGAGCCAAAGGGGCTTTTGATTGCTGGATTACAATACTTTGTTAGCTGGACCTTGGTGGTGAGCCTCAGGAGAAGGAAATGGCTAAATTTAGGACTGTAATCTAACAGTTTAGGAAGGAAGAGGGGATGGGAGGGGTGAGGGCAAGATCTGCTAGAGCCATGTCTGCCAACCTTAGGCCTTCTAGAGTCTTTCAGGAAGCCTGTGGTTGGTGCTTACACTCAAGAAATCAGAAAGACATTGAGCTTGAAAAGTTCTTCTTTGTTGCCTGGGCAGTGTGAGGTGTGTGTGTGTGTGTGTGTGTGTGTGTGTGTGTGTGTGTTGGTTTGAATGAAAATGGTCCCCACAGACTCATAGGGTGTGGTATTATTGGAGGTGTGGTCTTTGTTGGAGGAAGTGTGTCACTAGAGGCTGGCTTCGAGGTCTCAGATCCTCAAACAGCAACCAGTGTCTCAGTCTCTTCCTGCTGCCTGCCTGTCCAGACGTAGAACTCTCAGCAACCTCTCCAGCACCATGTCTGCCTGTGTGCAACCTTGCTTCCCACCATGACGATAATGAACTAAACCTCTGAACCCTCCAATTAAATGTTTTCCTTTATAAGAGTTGCCATGGGGACTGGAGAGTTGGCTCAGTGGTTAAGAGCATTGCTTGCTCTTCCAAAGGTCCTGAGTTCAATTCCCGGCAACCACATGGTGGCTCACAACCATCTGTAGTGAGGTCTGGTGCCCTCTTCTGGCCTGCAGACATACACACAGGCAAAATATTGTATACATAATAAATATATAAATAAATTCTAAAAACAAACAAACAAAAAAGAGTTGCCATGGTCATGGTGTCTCTTCACAGCAATAAAAACCCTGACCAAGACAGAAGTTGGTACCAGGAACTAGGATATTGTTGTAACAGGCCTGATAATGGTGATAATGGTTTTGTTTGGATGAGTCTGAACTTTGGAACTTTGAATTAAAAAAGCAGTTGAGTGCTTTAAGTGGAGCTTAATGGGCCATCCTTTAGGAGCATGAAAACAGTGGTGCTGAGGGTGGTATGAACTGTGCGGCCTGACTCAAGAGTTCTCAGACAAGATTATTAGTATTGTAGCATATGGCATAGAGGCCATTCTTGTGATACTTTGGCTAAGAATGTGGTTGTTTCTGCCCATGTCTAGAAAAATCTGTCTGAGGCTAAATTGAAGAGTTTTTGGTTAATTGAGCTGGCAGAGGAAATCTCAAAACAATCCAGTATAGACTCTGTCATGTGGTTGTTAGTGTTCATTCATGCAGATTTATAATGAAAAGAAGCAAATTGAGCAAGGAAAAATACAAAATGTACAGTTTAAGGAGAAAGGGGACATCAGGAAGTGGGATGGAGCTAAATTCTGTGTTCAAAGAGATAAACAGATTAAAGAAAATCCTGACGTTAAATGGAAAAAAGAGAGAGGGCAAGATCCCACCCAGCTAAGCTTCCAGCTTGTGAAAGGAATTAAAGAAAAGTTTAGAGCTAGGGGTGGTGATGCACATCTTTAATACCAGCACTCCAGAGTCAGAGGCAGGGAGATCTCTGAGTCCAAGGCCAGTCTGGTCTACAGATCCAGTTTCAGGACAGTCAAGCTTAGACAGTGAAGGAAACCATGGGAAACAGAAAGTCAGTGAAAATGTATTTGAATGAGGGGGCCATGTTGCAGCCCCAGCAAGCAGAGCTTGGCAGCTTTGGGCATGTGGTTCTGGTTTTAGAGTCGAGGATACAAAAAAGGGGTTATGGAATCTGTCTTTGACTAAGGAAAGTCACTGAGGCCAGGAATATGTCAGAGGTGTCCCTGGATGGAGACCAAGAAAGGCCATTGTGTGAAGCTGTAAAGGTGAAGCCTGGATTTCATTGACGAACACAAGACGTTAGAGATGACAGAGTTGGATACCTGCTGAGGAGAACTGCTAACAGGGCTGCAACCAGCCCAGGAGAAAGAAGTGTGTTGCTGTTAACAAAGCTGAAAGGAGTTGGAGATCTGAAGAACGTTTTGACATCAGACATGGAGAAGCAGAGTCTGGAGTTTGCCCAGCTGGTTTTTGGTCTTGCTTTGGTCTGGTTCCACAACCTTCCTCACTATGCTCCCTTTCCTCCATTTTTGAATGATAATGTATATTCTGTGCCATTACATGTTGGAAGTATGTAATCTATTTTCTATTTTGATTTTACAGGGTGTTATAATTAAGAAATTGCTTGCGTATAAGAAGAGACTTTGAGTTGGGTGGTGGTGGTACACTTCTTTAATCCCAGGACTCCCAGGGGTAGAGGTAGGTGGGTATCTGTGAGTTCAAGGCCAGTCTGGTCTAGATCTAGTTCTAGGACAGGCTCCAAAGCTACAGAGAAACCCTGTCTCGAAAAAGAAGAGAGAGAGAGAGAGAGAGAGAGAGAGAGAGAGAGAGAGAGAGACTTTGAACTTTAGATTTTAGATAGTGTGGAGACTGTTAAAAACTATGAAGACTTTTGAAGTTGAACTAAATGCATTTTGCGTTATGATACAGCTATAAGTCTATGGGGACCAAGGAGTGGAACGTAGTGGTTTGAATGAAAATGGCCCCATAGGCTCATAAGGAATGACATTATTCGAAAGTGTGGCCTTGTTGAAGGAACTGTGTCATTTGGGGTGGGTTTGAGGTTTCAGATGCTCAAGCCAGGCCCAGTGTGTTGATGTCTTCCTGCTACCTGCCTATCCAGATGTAGAACTCTCAGCTACCTCTCCAGCACCAAGTCTGCCTCATGCTACCTTGCTTCCCTCCTTGACACTAATGGATGAAACCTTTGAACTGTAAGTCAGACCCAATTAAATGTTTCCTTATTAAGGGTTGTGGTGTCTCTTCACAGCAACAGAAATCCTGAGACAGTGTGAGGACCCAAGAAAGGAACTGGGCCTGTGAAGAACTGAGGAGCCCAACACCAGCCCAGCCCCACACAACCTCTTTCTGGTTCCCAGCCCCTGTGCAGTCTGGACGACAATGTGACTGAGTCCTGCCAAGGACACATGGCACAATAGGGGCAGACACTTTCCCACCCCCCACAAACCTCCCTTCCCTTCCACAGAGGGGATCAGACCCTGGAGGAGGACATAACCAGGAAAAGGAAGGTCCTAGGTCCCTGGATATCCATCTGGAGGCTGTCCATTGATCAGAATGTTTGCTACAAATGTATGAGAAAGAATTCTTCTATTGAATGAACATTCTAAGCCTAGCTCTAGACCTAGGGATGAGCCGTGATCTTATGCATGACCAAGCCAGAGCAGAGGAAGCTTCAGGACAAATTCCTGACTTTTCTCTTGGTATTTATGTAGCTGCGTCCCAAGCCTTGTATCCACCCATAGGGTAACCTAATACAAGTCTCTTTATATTTGAATGTCAGATCTTCTCCAGTAAGTGGCACAGGTCATGGCGTCCCATCCTATTTCCCAGTGACACAGATTGACGAGGAACCAAGACAGACACTGTTGGTAAACATTTATTTTCCCAGAAGTAGGAGAGGAGGCGGGTGGGTCTCAGGGCACTTGAGGCTCCGTGCATGGGCAGCGGGCAGATTGGGACTAATGGTGTTTCTGGTTGGCAGATGTTCCTGCTGGGTTCTGGAGGGACATGAGCCATGGACACAGCTGTGGCTGGCAGTGTCTGTCCCCATGGTTTGGATCGAACCCTCCGCAGTCCCATCTGTCAGCTGAGGCTCAGAAAGGTGAAGCAAGGTTCTCCTGGTCACACAATCCAGCCACTCCACTAAACCAAGCCACTTTCCCTCCAGAGGGAAAGCAGATTTATCCCCTCCCCCAGGACACTGCTGTCCCCAGGGAAGCACAAATGAATCCTAAATCTGTGTCCTAACTTGCCCCAACCACCCAAAAATAATTCCCAACTAAACTCTTTAGCTTATCTATGCCACCCACTGCAGTCACCATAGCCAGCTGCTTTCTGGGGACGAGAGCGTATGGCCTTCCTCGACCCCAGTTCCTAAGACTCTCCGATTCATCTATTTGGCCTTTTTCCTATATAAATATTTATAACTAGAGCTTATAATACCAAGCCATGGTAGTCACTAACACCATAGCATGAATTTGAGGACCAGCGATTCAGTCAAGCAGTCAGGAGAAGCAGGGTGAGGAAGAAATGGTTAAAGAGGGTATGGAAGGTGATTCTCGGTAAAGTTAGAGTTTCACGGTTGACTTACACAGCCGCCTTCTAACAGTCCTCGTCTCTGTGGTGACAGGAGATTGCCCTGTACCCAGGGATGGGGAAATATGACTTTTACTGATGGAGTCTGCAGCTCCTTTCAGAATTCTGATTCTGAGCCTTCCTGTGTGCACCCTGTCCTGTGCCCCGGGCTCCCTGTCCCATGCTCCTGTGTTCCCTGCCTGATCAAGAGACAGGAGGAGCTTTGGTGGGAACCTCGGCCTAACCCCCGGGCCTGGTGGACCAGCCTGAAACCCTGAGAGTTCTACGGAGAGAAGGTAGAGACCACAGAAGTCTGAAGAACGGTGCTTGGCGGGTGCCCACCGGGACTAATTGAAGCCTCGGAGGCCATTGGCGCTGGACGAGTGCAAGGGGAGGAATAGCGTTCTGAGTATCAGCAACCTTCCAGGCAGTGAACCTGAGCAGCACAGACCCGAAGCATTTGGGTCTTTCCTAAGCAGGGAAGAGGTAAGGCAATCAGGGCACTAAAGCAAGGGTGTGGCCTCATGAGGAGGGGATGCTGGGAAAGGGCTGGCCTGAACATGCTCCCTCAGCTGCCATGTTGGAAGAGGATGGGTTAGAGGGACTGCGGGGAGGTGGAGGGACCAGAGGCCTGACAGGGTGACAGTCCAGGACACTGAGGGCAGTATTGTTGGCAGCTTTCTTGCAGAAATGGCAGCGGGAGTGGCCACGCCCATGGTCATCAGGCCCTCCTCACTAGGCCAGCTTCTGGAGAAGTCTCTTCACCCAGGGCATCCTGGGGTCCGCACAGATGTCCCGGTTCTTCATGGTTATCAAACTGGAAGAAATACCAGGGAATAGGTGATAGCGTTAGTAGGCTACTGGACAGAAGTAAGGACTTTGGAGCGGCCTATCTGAATTGAATTCTAGTGTTGCTCCTTGTTCACAAGTCAGGTAACTTCTCTGGGACCAGGTTTCCACATCTGTAAGATGGGGTGACAGTCCTGCCCAGCTACGTGAGATTTCAATGAAGCTGTCGGGGTATATAGTAGGCACTATGTCATTGCGTCAGAAGATGGCCCCAACATTTTACATTACATTGGTTTTGTTTCATGTGTATGTGTGTGTTTGTGTGTGTGTGTGCATGTGCACACACACGTGCAGGCATACACACAGATGTGTAGAGACCAGAGGTTAACATAGTGTTTCCCTCACTTGCTCTCCATCTTATTTTTAAATACAGTTTATTGAACTTGAATTTTCAGTTCAAATAGACAAGCTAGCCCGCATAGCCCAGGATAGTCCTATCTTCACCTCCCTGGCCCTGAATTACAGGTTCAGGCTGCCTTGTCTGGTTTTTTTGCACGAGTGCTAAGGATACGAACTTTACTGACTGAGCACTTTCCTCAAACTCTTTTATAATGACTTCCTTGATTCTTGCAATAACTCCATGTTCTAAAGAAATTTGTCTGGGATGGGGACTGGACTATGACTTTGAAGAAATCCCCTCCAGGCCTCTTTGAGAGTCTTAGAGCATCTGGGGGAGAAATAGGTTTGCCCCGCGGTGCTGGAAAAGTTACTGTCATTTGACTCACCTAGGATGACCTTGGAGACCTCTGGGCACGCCTACGGGGATATCTTATTTTAAGTGCTGTGAGAAAACCCCTCTGAATTGTGGGTTGAGGCCGGTCCAGGGCAGTAGACCCTGGATAATGTGGCGATACACGCTAAGCATTTGCATTCATCTCTGTTTCCTTCCTGACTGTGGACAAGATGTGACCAGCTGCTTCCAGCTCCTGCTGCCTCAATTGCCCTTCCCGAAGGCCTGCACCTTAAGCTTTGGGCTAAAATCCACCCTTTCCCCCCTTTCCAACAAGTGTGGTCCAAGGCTTCTGCCCTGCATAGCTGTAGCAAGTATCAGGCCAGGCCTGGGCACTGAAGCTGTGGTGGGCAAGGTGGGTACAGGCTGGCTGATGCTGGGGCCTCTGCTCCGGTTCCATAGCTGCATCCCAATAGTCCTGTCATACAGCTGAGAGCTGTTGACTCCCCACATCCCTGATCTTTGCACCATAGACCACTAATGAACAGCGTCTGAGGACAATAGCAACGCCAAGCTCGGATCTTTTCTTTTTCTTTTCCTTCCTCCCTTCCTTCCTCCCTCCCTTCCTTCCTTCCTTCCTTCCTTCCTTCCTTCCTTCCTTCCTTCCTTCCTT